ACTTTTTTAAAAACTACATTACTTGTATAATCCGTGTGAGCATTCACTTCGTTGTATATCAAGATTTTTAAGTTATTGCGATTTATTACTCCTGAAACTGCAACACACAGTTGCATATGACTAAATACAGGTTTTCCTAACAAAAATTCAACATGTTTCATATATTGTCCCTAACAATTCAATAATTTGACTTATCTCAGCAATAATTCAACATATTAATGTATTTCTTTTGGAATTTGTAGTTTTTTAATTTTATTTCTGTATTTAAATGGTACCATTTACTTATCCTACGATATTTATTTTCTATTTTATTTTAGATCACTTACCATTTGTACATGTGTCCATGCTTGTAAATTATAATATTAATAGTATTAATTTTAGAATACTTATCATTGTTACATGTTTCCATGCTTATGGTATAAATAATATTAATTTATAATTTTTTTATTTTTGCATTTAAATGGTAACATTTACTTATATTACCATATTTCTTTTTTAATTTATTTGATAACACTTACCATTTCTACATGTTTCTATGCTTGTAAATTGTAGTATTAATTAATAGTATTAATCTGTTGTTTTTCTATTTTATTTTTGTTTTTAAATGGTATCATTTACTTATCGTACCGTATTTATTTTCTTATATATTTTATTTATTTTATTTTCTAATTTATTTAGAACACTTACCTAAATTATTTTAGAACACTTATCATTTAGTTTATTTTTGTATTAAAATGGTACCATTTGCTTATCGTGCTGACGTACTGTACCGTATTTATTTTCTAATTTTCTAATTAGAATACTTACCTTTTTAAAAACTTTTCATTTTTATACTTTATAGTATTAATATTAATTTTGAAATTTTTTATTTTATTTTCGCATTTACATGGTACTAATTACTTAGCGAACCACATTTATTTTCTAATTTATTTTAGAACATTTCTCTTTTATTTTAGAAAACTTATCTAATTTATTATAGAACACTTACCATTTTTTTGTTTTCATTTTTTAATGTTGTCATTTGCTTACCGTACCATACCGTATTTATTTTTTAATTTTCTAATTAGAACACTTATCATTTTTAAAACGCTTCCATGCTTGTAAATTATAGTACTAATATTAATTTATAGTTTTTTTATTTTATTTTTGTATTTAAATGTTACCATTTACTTACCGTGCCATATTTATTTCCTAATTTATATTAGAAAACTTACCTTTTTTACATGTTCGTGCTTGTAAATTATAATATTTTTTTGAAATAACTAATTAATTTGCACGTAGTTTTTTTTTGAAATAAATCATTCTATTCCCGCCCATACTTTATTAATTTGTAGTTTTTTAATTTTATTTTCATATTGAAATGGTACTGTATTTTATTTCCATACTATAGTTACTCAGTGGTTCACTACTATTTAATTAAATTTAAATACTTAAATAGTGTAACATTTAAATATAAATGAAAACATACTTAAAATTGAAGGAAAATATTGAGGCAAAATAATTTAACTACCATTTGTGTAATCAACATTTTCTGTATATGAGTCTCATGTATATATGGGCGGGAAAACATTCATCTCTTTTTAAATAAAGTATTGATTTCTCACATAAAAAATATTTTTATGTTACATATTATATTTTTAACAAAAAAAACTAGTAAACATTTGCTTAAACATTGTGTACACTGTAAGTCTATCATAGCATTGTTTATTGCAGATATCTACTATATTGATTTTTTTTAGAATTGTTTTTAGTTGTTAACAAGTTGGACCTGATTTACTACAATTTGTAGATGATGAACCTAGAGCCGATACCAGAAGGTGATAAGGACGAAGAGATGTGGGTGGAATTAATTGAGAATTTGGAACTCTTATTTGAATCAGAATAACTCATCACGTTTTCGGGCATGAGTCCCAAGTTGTGATATTTTAATTATTAAGCTTCCGCACTATTTTATTTTACTCCGATGTTGGGTTTTAAATCAAAAATTGTTTGGATGTTTTAAATTGTTTTGAAATAAGTGTGTGTTTGGATACCGGAATGGTAGCGGTTCGCAAACTTGTGAATTTTGATTATGCGGGTTTGAGTGTTATAAGGTGTGCCAAGAGTTTCAAAAGGTGCCATGGCAACCAGCGACGAACTACACGCCGATCAGCACTGCGATACCATTTACTCGCTGGGGGATCAACTTGGTCGGTATATTGCCAAGAGGCACGGGAAACAACATGTAAATGGTGGTTGCGATTGATTATTTTACCAAGTGGGTCGAGGCCGCCACGGTGCCGACCATCATCGATAAGCAGATGAAGAAGTATGTATCGAAACAGGTCCCGTGCCGCCTTGGAGTACCCGAGCAGATCATCACTGACAATGGAACCCAGTTCGAAGCTAGAGGATTCAACGATTTCCTACGAAGTTGGAGGATAAAGCACAGTTATGCTGCGGTCGCGTACCCTCAAAGCAACGGCCAAGTAGCTAGAAAATAACAATCGCACCACCATTGATGGTTTGAAGAAAAATATCATGGAGTGTAAGAGTGCTTGGGTAGAGGAGCTACCGTACATCTTGTGGACTTATAGAACCACCCTGAGGAAAGTTACCGGAGAAACACCATTCGCCCTAACTTATTGTTTCAAGGCAAGAGCGCTAGCAGAAACCTCGTTGTTAAATTATCGGGTATAGACCTTTGACGTAGAGGAAGACGAGAGGAACTTGGCAGCTGAACTCCACAAGTAGAGGGTGCAAGGGGAATACAGACCCCTCTTCAAGCAAGTGATGTGCGCAGTGAAGAACCCCTTGGGAGCATCCAAGGCGGTCTCAGTGGGTCGCCGGAACTCAATGGCGGGACCAACCATATTAGTGGCATCAGCGAAGCCGTAATCTGAGATTTGGCAATGGCAGAGGGCCATGATGTTCTCCTCAAGTTCAACCCTAGGGCCCCGTAACTTGGCCTTTGGGGGGGAGAACTGTTTTATTAATAACCACCATTTTCGACCGGATGCAGCCGCCAACGACGATTGGGGCAGACTAGAGGGATCCTGATCCTGGCCAGAATTAGCCGCCTGATCTGGCTACAGGGGACTAGAAGACGGGGGCGAAGGACTGGAATCCGAAGATGACATGGTGGCAAAGGAGGAACTTCCCTGGAAGTGCAGAAAGCGGGTCTGGGCGTAATTGCGGTTGGGCAGATGAACAATAAGGAAGGAGGCATCCAAAGGCTGTTATCAAGCTTCGAAGGAAAATGAGAAAACAAATGATGACTGCTTTTGTGCAATCGAGCCAACCGCCGCACGGATATTGAGGGACACTTCAGATCCGTTGAGGGAAGGCACACGTGGACCTCGAAAACTCCTCATTCCCCAACGTGGCCCGCCTGATGAAATGAGGTCGAGCAGCCCAACCCGTGTCCTTAGGTGTGCTTTGGGACCCATGGATATCCCAATATCCCAATGTTAGTATTAGAACAGCACAATGCCTTGGGCCTGAGCTGACCCGAATAAAGGAGTCGTTGGTAGCCCGCCTGCTGGGAAGGAGAGCGCGGCTAGGTTGCGGAAAATGAGCCGGAGAAATAGGATCGCGTAATTTGTGGAATTCGCTTCAATAATTAATAATTACCTTAATTATGTAAAGGGATATGTATTGAGAGGATCTGGATGAGGATCCTCAAGCAAAATCTAGTGTATAACTTTAAAATTCTTGAGTTCTTTGATCAACAATATTCTTACGATCCGCCCATTGAGTCGAACCATTTAGTAGAATTCTTGTCAATCACATGTAAAGAGACTCTCTTATGGGTGCGTGAGAGGGGCAACAAGAAGTTTACATTCTCCTCTGATCCTCAAACGGTGGTAGAAGCTCTTCGTCAAAGAGCTCGTCTTAGAGGTTCATTGTATTTTGCAGCAATGATTGAAGAGTTTTTTATGTGTTATGTCTATTTTTTGGATATTTTGGGTGAATAATGCTAGGATGCCATCACATGGATGCTTCGAACAGATGATTATCAATTTATCATTTGTGTATGCACAGATGATTACCATGTGTGTTGTTTTTTTCTAGATATTTTGGATGAATAATGCTAGGCTACTACATGGATGCTACCATGGGTGCTTCGCACATATGATTATCATCTGTGTCGCACAAATGATTACCATCTGTGTTGTCTGTGCGTAGCATGAGTGTACCCATGATAACATCCATATGATGGCACCCTAGCATCGCTCATTTTGGATTACTTTGTCCGCTAGTCTAATAATATTATTGAGGCCAATGCACCGGCTTGGCGTGCAGGGACACAATCAGGGTTGTGGGATGACATTCAACTAAAGTCTGTGCTAATGATGTGATCTTGTCGCTTATTGGTTTATAAAATCTTTGATATATTTTTTAATATATAAATTTTCTTTTAAATTTATGTGATTGTTGAAATAAATTAAATTCAAAATAATTTCAATCAAGAAATCTTAAACATCAATCTCAAGTTTATTTTGGGACAGAGAAAGTATGAGATTATCCTCATTCGATACGACCCGACTTCTCTCTCACATACACGACTATCAAAAAGTACTATGACTACTCTTTAAAGTACTATGACTAATTTTCATGAATCATTAAAGCATATATACAGCAGGAAGAGATCAGTAAATACCTAGAGAAGGGGAACATTGAAGACTTACGACTTTGTCTCTATGTTCTTCTGCACTCTTGTGAATCATGTGGGCAAAGCTTTATACGCAAAGGAGACGCATCAAAACCATTGGAACCTAACAACCATATTGGGATCCGAGTTTGGAGACATTTCCAACCGCAAAAAGGAAAGGACATCACATGAACTGCATGCGCGGATGCGCCTCACAATCAATTAATGTAAGATAAGATGTGATGATTTTCCTACTTTACACACGCATCCAACCAGCATACTCAAAATCTAATGAACTCGTGATTTAAGTTCATGTGCCCAAACTAATGTATTAGATAACACAATAAACTGAGAGGCCCGTGATCACAATAATGGTAAAGCCCATATAAAATTATTGGGCAAAATACACTTTAGTATAACCCCACCCTAAACAATATTGTTATATCCAAGCACCAACAAGATTACATGGCTTAGTAATATAGCAATTCATTAACCCTACTACAACATCTCACAGGTAAAATAAACTTGATGTAGCCATAATAACTCACTTCTTGGAACTCAACCCCCTTAGTCACCACATACAGGCAATGGGATCCGCAAAATAATACAGACTAACTGATTTGCACAAGAACTAATTGCTTGCCCACCATAAAACGATTTCTCAAGTCGCTTTATCACATTAGGAAACATCTTGACATGATTTCAAACGTGATCTGAAACAAAAGCAGATTGTAAAGACTCAAACAGAAATTACGGAATAACAGAAAAAAGGATTCCTGGAAAATGGACTCCTGCTTAGTTCGGAATTTCATTCTGCATTTGCGAAGTAAAAGTAATGTTGTACTAACGAGCCCTTTGTGAAGTAAAGCTATCAAGTAAACAATTACACTGTACTTATAAAGCACTACATATTAAACACAAGCCTACTAAAGCAGAACTTAATAAGCTACGAAGTAACCGATCTCACAGCCTAAAATGGGTAGGAACAAAAAAATGTATGTAGAAGATGTGACGATCTCTCATGGTACAAAAGCAATTGCAATTTACAAAGCAACTGAGAAATTAGAGTAAGATAAGAACTGAGAAATCAGTCTGGATCTTGCAGGAGAGACAAAAGTTCCACTCACATAGTTAAGAAGCAAGTACATTATCTACTACATCCAGCCAGTCAATCCATATTTGTCGGCAATATTGTACATTACCAGCTCATTCCAAGAATCCCCAAATAGATTCTCTCCTCCTACAGCAAAGGTAATAGCCCATGAACAAAGAATAACGCTGAATACTGCAAATCCAATAGCTGATCCAACCACATCTGGAGAAGGGAGAAGTGAAACACAAATATAAAAACAATAGCGTGAATATGATTTCAATGTTAATCAGTAGATGATTATATTTCATTCAGGCTAATGGCCATCGGAAATGTATATTGAAAAACACATTCTTATTACCACCATAAACGCTCACTATCATGTACTACATTAAAAGAAACAGCTATTATTTTGGGCTCACTACACCCAATTGTCAATAATTCATGGATATGTAATGCTCACACAGGGCCTGTTCTGGAATATTGATGCCAAACCTTTTGGAACACATGGAGGTGGCCATCTAATAAGTAATAAGTGTGAAATACAAAGTCAGCATACCACTTACTATTCCATCAGGAAGAACCTACCTGAGAAATTTAATTGGAACTGTGTATTGAAGTTCAGAAACGCTCAAGACGGAACCTATCCTTTTCGTTTCTGGCACATGAAAAACTCCAACCAGTACTTTGTTATGGCAACTCGATATCGTCAATTGACCAGTATGTGAAGTTGTGGAGTGGTGTCAAGACAGCCTTTCAAGCTGTACGGGACTGTGTAGTACCTGGGAAATGGGTAGGCCATATTTTGTGTAACAGTGGATCCAGCCATATGCCCTTATTCAGTGCAAAAACTGAAAATATAGTCTTAAAAGCTCCAATGAGCTTATGTTGTACTCCGTATTTACTACTCCCTGTGATATAATCTCCTTAAAATCATCCAAATATCAATTGAGCATGCCAATTGATCAATGTAAACCAGTCCCATATAATTTTGCCTGATGAATACCTAAATTTTGTTACAGCTCATTAAAAGGGCCAGATGACCCGTTTCTATCCAGGATTTCTCAAAAATTTCCTTGCGATTTAAACAATTAGAAGCTGACATAGAAAGACACAATGTAACTTGAAAAAAAATTCAATTCTTCACGCCTAATGGATACATATGAAGGCATCAACAAAAACATCTCTAAATAAAATTAATGCATTTGAAATGACTTACAGCGACGAAGATCGGGGTGGAAATGAGAAGTAGGGCGGCGAAGAACCGGCCAGAAGTAGAAGCAGTTGACGGCCCAAAGCCATGGGAGTAGCACGAACCCGAATTTGAAGAACCTGCGGGCGTATCCAATTGAATCTTGCTCCGAGAGCCCCAGCGGGCCGTCAACGGTAGGCCAGTCAGCTCGCAGTGGAGACCTCTGATGGATCCCGACGGAGTCGCCGGCGGTGGGAGCGCTAGTAACCGTATGAGCTTGGCTATCCATTCTCCTTGGCTCGCTGCGAAACCCGATTGACCCGTTTATCCCCGTCGAGATTCTCTCTTTGAATGATGCACGTTGCACCGTCCGGGTAAAGCCTGAGGCTGTGTTTCAGGAAATAATGGAGTATTTATTTTTCGTTACTTCCAAATTTTACTTTTTTCCTGCCAAAATGAGTTACATTATTATTATTATTATTATTATTATTATTATTATTATTACTATTATTATTATTATTACTACTACTACTACTATTATTATTATTATTTACTAGTATATTATTATTATTGTTATTCTTATTGTTGTTGTTATAGTTAATTATTATTAGTAATAATAATAAAAATAATATTTATAATATTATTATTATTACCTCCTCAGTCCAAAAGTTATTTTTCTGCTTTGACTTTATACGCCAATTAATTGCTAAGGTTTTACTATCTCTATCCTAAAATAATAATATTCATTCTTTATTTTTTTATTCATTCAAAAAAAATTATAACTATATTTTAGTAATTAAAAAAATCTTCACTCTTTCTTTATGGGTTAAATATGTCTTTACTCCCTGTAAAATAAGAGACTTTTGTTTTAGGTTCCTGTAAATTTTTTTGTTTAAATCATTCTCACGAAAATTTTTATATTGAAAATGGTCCCTTAATTTATAAAAAGAAATGCAGAGACCAAAAATAAAAGTTCCTTTTTTACAAGGACTAAACATATTTAATCCATAAAAAAGAATGGAGATTTTTTATTAATCCATAAAATATAGTTTTAATTTTTTTTAACGAACAATTTATATATCAAAATAGTCACAAAATCATTACTATACATAAATTATTAAAACTGATTTTGAACAAAAAGTTTCACTTTGTAATTAGTTACTAAACTTGTACTCTCTCAGCCCTAAAATAAAAAGTATTAGTGTTTCATTTGTTCTCCTATTTTTGTTACAAGAATTAGTGCGAATTAAGAAACAAAAAATTAAATGATATAAATATTAAAAAATAAAGAGTAGTTGTGAAGGTAAATGATACCAACATTACTACTCCCTCCGTCCCCCATAGATCTTCCCAATAGCCCTTTTTCTTTGTCCACAATAGATCTTCTCATTTCATTTTTTAACAATTAAAATACCACAACTACCCTCACTTACTTTATTTATTACACCTCACCCACCTCATTTAATACACTCCACCCATTTTCATTAACGGTATTATGGTAAACTTTCACCTTTTTTCAACTCTTCTTAAAAACCACCAAAAGTAAAAATGAGAACATCTTATGGGGACGGATGGAGTACTATATAGTATATACTCCGTATAATTTGTTGTAAAAAAGTAAAAGTGAATGTAAATCATGCTAATATTACTACCTCTATTCGAGTGTACTTGTCTAATTTGATTTTTTCGACTCAAACTATAAAACGTTTGTCTAACTCTTCAAAATATGATCTAAAAGTTATTACTCCCTCCGTCCCACTGTCTTTGTCCACTTACCTTTTGGCACACCATCCAATGCACTTCTTTAATCCATTTTATATTGTAATTTGTATATTAAAAAATTATAGAAATTATATACTCCCTCCGTCCCAAAATATTCACAACATTTGCTTTTTCAGCAGTGTCGGGAACTTTTGTTTATTTCAACGTTTTCATTGATTATTTGATAAAATAAAATATTCTTGACACCTCTTATTTCGAAAAACTTTTCATGTAGTTTTTTTATATGTAAATTTTATTTTTTATTTCTTTACCAATATGTAAATAAAATGAATTGAAAAAACTTGATATTTTGCCTCGGAAATACAAATGTTGCAAATAATTTGGGACGGAGGGAGTATTAATAATCTATATGTTAAGACGAATCAAACAAGATCACACATGACTATTTTTAGGCTTACACATTGAGAGAATTTGATGAGTCAAAGTGCTTAGATGAACAGTTCCAAAAGTCAAAAGTGGACAAAGACAATGGGACGGAGGTAAGTATGTGATAAAAGTATAGTCACTCCAAGAAAAGGTGTTTTCCCCTTATTTGACCACACTTAAGTAAGTGTGGCGAATAAAGTGTGGAGAATAATAATAGTATCAACTACGGAGTATTTCATAATAACTTAGGGGCGGTTTGTTTCAGCCTCTTAATAGTTCAGATGTCTGAATGATTCAGCACTTAATGGTTCAGACTGTTTGTTTCAGCCTCTTAATGGTTCAGATGTCTGAATGGTTAAGAGATTTGCCTCTGAATGATTAAGTACTATACAGAGTCTGAATGGTTAAGAGCTTTTATCTGAATTGATCAGACATTTGCCTCTGAATAGTTAAGCAATATACTAGCTCTTAATGGTTCAGATCTCTTACTGGTTCAGCACTTAATGGTTCAGACCTCTTACTGGTTCAGCACTTAGCTATTCAGAAGTTACCAAACAGCCCCTTACTCTTTTTATAACTAAAGCCCAAGATTTCACACTCTTCTAAGAGCACTGGTAATACGTTTGAAGCCCCGGGGCTTCAAACTTTCTCTCTCTGCCACGTCAGCTTTAACTTACACCCAAAATTCACTGGAAATGGGTTTGAAGCCTCGGGGCTTCAAACCTTCATTTTTTACATTTTTAAATATACATCTTCTAAAATTAAATTAATAAAATGTACTTAATTTTTTATTTAATTAAATTGAAACACGAATAATAAAAAAACACATTAATTAAATAAAAAAAAAGCGACAATCATTTAAAAAAAAGATACACTAATAAAAAAACTAAGGAAAATTATATTTCTCCTTGATCTCTCTCATTCTTTGCTCGTAGATAATTCGTCCAAACTCCGACAAAGTCCCGGAGTCGGTTTGCATGACTTTCATCTCGGCCTCCTGCTCCTTTAGCTTCAACTCCTTCTCTTTAAGCTTCAACCTCTCTTGTTCTTGGAGATTGAACGCCCGAAGTTGTTCAACCATTGCCCGGCCGATTTCGTCGCGGGGAGAAGCGGAAATAGAGGCGGACCCTCCCGAACCAGAGGCAATGGATTTTGCCTTCTTTCTTCCGATCGGCCGTGGAATGGGGTCCTCGTCATCGGAAGCCGCAACGTTGAAGGAAGGGATTTGATCGGTAGACCGATGGTCTCGTCGACCTCAACCTCGGCGTCGACGGTGGATCTTTTCCGGAATGATACGCCGTCGGGATTGTTGAGTTGTTGCCACTTCGGGGAACGACTCAAAATCCCCCAAAGATCGATGGGCACCTTGCCTTGGTTCCCGTCGTCTTGATACCGGGTCGTGGCAAGCCGGAGAACATCGGCGTCATTCATGCCGCTCCTCCGGGACCGGGAGCATTCCTCGTATACTCCCATAAACTTTCGTACTTTTTTGTTGATGTGGCTCCATTTGGAAGTGAGTTGGTCACGGGTTCGGTAGGAGCCGTCCTTCTTCATCGCCGTGAAGAATTTCTCCTCGATACGATCCCACATCGCATCCTTCGTTTGCTCCGTACCTTTAAAAAAGTATATAATTAATTTTTTTTGACACCATTAAATATAATATATATAAATAAAAATATAAATATATTAGAAAAAACAAATTTTTTACCAATGATAGGATGCTCAGAGACGTCAACCCAAGCCGACGCCAATATGCACTTCTCCTCCGGCGTCCACTTTTGGATTGACCGTGCCGCATCGGTCAACGTGCCTTTGGCTTTGTGGCTCCTCTGGCGTGTACTTTTTTTCGATCCAGACGGTTCTGGTTGAGTCTCCGGAACCGAATCTCGGTCGACGTACCCCGATTGTTACGTCTCGTATATCGGCGGTCGATCGCCCCACTCTTGGTAGAACCACATCGCGGCGTCACTCGGGGAGAGATTGTCGGGGTTGAAGCCGGAGCCGGAAGGATTCATGTTGAAAATTGGGAGGAGGGATTTGAATTTTGAAATTTAAAAATAAGAAAGAAGAAGAGATTGGAGAGAAGGTGTGAGAGATTAATTGGTTGGGGAGGGTTGAATTTATAGGAAATTTTTTTTTTTTTTGAAATTGGGGTGCAACGGCTTTTTTAGCCGTTAGGAGGGAGCAGCGCATTTTCCACGCCGCGTCATTCGTTTGACGCAGGCGCCCTCACGCCCGTTTCACGCTGGCGGGGGGCGGTGTTTCACGCCCCCGGGGCGTTAAACGCCCCGTAACGCCGGTGGGCGTGAGGGGTATTACCAGTGCTCTAAGGTGGTTTCACGCCACATGGAAAGAATCAAGAAACAGGGCATCGATCAACCAAGGGCTCTAGCTTCATCGTCCTCATCTATAAATATAATCGACAGCTCCAACTTCTTCTTTTTCGTCAAGGATCGACGAACGCACAATGACTGTGGCAGGATTGCGTTTAGTGATTTGGTGATACTGGGCTAGGGTTTGAACCATAGTCCCCGACTCTAGTATCCGAGCACAGGGGACGATAAAGGGAAGACCGGAAAAGGATGACAATAATGGAAGAGGCAATATCACAGGTCTCCGACGGAGATCCGCCGCTAAACTAGCGCCAAATCCAAGGTAGAGTTATATTAGGTGTAGATCGAATCTAACCTTTTAGACATTCTTTTAACTTCGGGAAATGTTTGGTTCACAAACACAATGGTCACAAATATCACAAACTTACTGTTTGTGAACTTTAATGAAAAAAATTAAATGGCCTAGAGTGATTTCAAAATAAAATTTTAAACCATAAATAGTAAGTTTGTGAAGTTTGTAAGTATTCTGTTTGTGAACCTAGCATTGCTCTTTAACTTCTAAGAGCACTGGTAATGGTTATGAAGCCCCGGGGCTTCAAACCGAGGCTTCAAACTTTCTCTCTCTGCCAGATCACCTTTAACTTACACCCAAAATTCACTGGAAATGGTTTTGAAGCCCCGGGGCTTCAAACTGGGGCTTCAAACCTTCATTTTTTACATTTTTAAATATACATCTTCTAAATTTAAATTAATAAATTTAAATTAATTTATTATTTTAATTAATCGCAATGACACTAGTTCATAAAAAAATTAAATTCATTATAAAAAAATCTTACATTCATAAAAAAAACATTTAAAAAAAATTACATTCATTAAAAAAATTACATAAAAAAACAACAGTACAAAAAAATCACTAATTATTCGAACGACTAAAGATATGCTCGATCAAATCCGCCGTTAGTGCATTGTGAATCTCTCGGCTTCGAATTTCTTGGCGGTTGCGTCGTTTCTTTTCTTCGGTGATTTCTTCGTACATAGGCACCTCCTCGTCCGGGTTATATTGACAAATCGTAGATCCGTTATCCTCTATGATCATATTATGAAGAATTGTAGAAAGAATATTTTCCTTGATGATTTGTGTGAATTACATGTGTATTTATACAAGGGGTCTCAATCCTAATTATGGTAGGAGAGACATAGTAGGAAGGTAATACAATTATGGTAACACTATAATACAAGAATAATTAAATATAAATAATATATTTAACATGCTCCTGGCTACGTCGGATGTGGAAGCGGTGTGATACCCAAGCTGTTTCGGAAGTCAAGGAATAGAAGTGAGGGCAGTCCTTTGGTAAAAATGTCGGCATACTGGGAGGAAGATGGAACATGCAAGACCCGAACATGGCCGAGTGCCACCTTGTCACGTACGAAGTGTATATCGACCTCCACATGCTTTGTGCGCTGATGCTGGACGGGATTGGTGGAGAGGTAGACTGCGCTGACATTGTCACAGAAGACAAGGGTGGCACGCCAGAGAGGTTGCTGCAGCTCAAGGAGAAGGTTGCGCACCCAAGTGGTTTCGGCTACGGCGTTGGCTACAGCCCTGTACTCAGCCTCGGCGCTTGATTGCGAGGTGGTTGCCTGTCGTTTGGATGACCAGGAGACCAGGTTATCCCCCAAAAATACGCAGTAGCCGGAGGTGGAACGCCTGGTGTCTGGGCAGCCGGCCCAGTCTGCGTCAGAGTAGGCCTGGAGAAAGTCTGTGGAAGATGGTGACAAATGAATGCCATGGGTGGTAGTGCCACTCAGATACCGTAGAATGCGCTTCATGGCAGTGAGATGAGCATCGCGGGGTGCATGTAGGTGGAGGCAGAGCTGCTAGACTGCATAAGTGATGTCGGGCCGTGTGAAGGTGAGATACTGTAGTGCTCCCACAATGGACTGGTATAAGGAAGGATCTGGGAGTACTGTGCCTGTAGAGGAGGATAATTTGGCCTTCGTGTCGATCGGAGTAGTGATAGGGCGACACGAGAGCATCCCAGCACGCTCGAGTATGTCATGTATGAACTGAGTCTGGTGAAGGAAGATCCCTGCAGAGGTGCGCTGAACATTAATGCCAAGAAAGAAGTGTAGGTCCCCCATGTCTGTCATAGCAAATTCTGTCTTAAGCTGATGGATGAGGCTCTGAAGAAGTGATGATGATGAGGCAGTGAGGACGATGTCGTCCACGTAGAGGAGGAGGTAGGCTGTTCCCGTGGTGTGGGAGAAGATGAAGAGTGATGTGTCCGCCTTGCAACCCCGGAAGCCAATGGACTGGATAAAACCTGCAAATCTGTGGTACCACGAGTGTGGGGCTTGCTTGAGCCCATAGAGTGCCTTTTTGAGTTTGCATACATAGTGAGGTCTGGCGGCATCCTGAAACCCAGAAGGCTGGCTAGCATAGACTGTCTCCTGAAGGTGCCCATGTAGGAACGCGTTTTTGACATCAAGCTGGTGGATGGGCCAACCCCGAGACAGTGCAAGGCTAAGGACGATTCGAATAGTGGCTGGCTTGATGACAGGGCTGAAAGTCTCGTCGTAGTCGACACCAAAACGCTGATTGAAGCCACGGACCACCCAACGAGCCTTATACCTGGATAACTCACCAGAGGGGCCAAATTTGTGTCTAAAAAGCCATTTACCGGTGATTATATTTTGTGAGGGGGAGGGGGGTACTAATTCCCATGTGTCATTCTTAATCAACGCATTAAATTCATCACACATAGCAGCGTGCCAGTTAGGATCTTTAAGTGCACTACG